CCCCCACGGCCATCTTGGATCTGCAGGCCAACATCGACGAAGATGCTGAAGCCATTCTTTTGGCTGCGGCTGGCAGAATTGAACACCTGCTCACGGACAAGTCCCACTACTTCCACAAAGGTGGTGGCCAGGACTCCTCCAAAGTCCCTCTCATTCAGCAAAAGAAGGAGCTCCTCAAGGAACTGCTTGCCAAGCCCAACCAAGGCGGCCACAGCTGGATCCCTTTCCGCTCGGGCGCGTCTTGTCAGCACTGCAAAGCTCGCCTTCACTCGAAGAGCCTCATTCAGGAGCTCCGAGATGCCTTGGGGTCTGATTGTGTCGCGAGGATGACTCAACCTGTCAAGCGCAAGACGCGCATGGAGGTCATTGAGGACCTGATCCAAGCACAAACTGAGGAGATTCCAGGTCAGCACGTCATCTTCTTGGACCGTGCCTACGTTCGCTGCCGCAGGTGCAAAGGCTATGTCCTGGCCAGAACTTCTCAGGAGAACTTCGACCACTGGCTTCACGAGCCATGTGTGGTGGGACCCATTCCGGAAGAGCAGTGGCAGGGGCACCCATCGCACAGGATGGAAAGGTGCGGCAACAAGGCCTTTTGCACCCGGTGTCACAGCCGCACCAAAGTGCAGGACAATGAGCCTGAGCTCACGGACAAGCTCCGCCAACGATGTCAGTTGGCATCCGGCTCCCAGGATCTAAGATCCTTTTTCGGCTAGCACCCATTCGCACATCAGAAAAGGCGCGCAAAAAAAAAAAATATATATATATATTCAACAGCAACATGTATTTTTTGTTCACCTCATGCTTGAGTTCTGCCAAGTCGTTCAGGAATCGTTTTACTCCATGTGCAGGAGCAAAGGAAGGCACGGCAAGACGGAGCTTCCGGTGGTCCTGGTCCAGGCACGGCACAGCAACCGGCAAGCAAAAAACCTCAAATTGATGGCCTCCAACCTAATGGCGATGGTCCATCGATGGTCTCCAACCTAATAGCGATGGCCTCCAACCTAGTAGCGAACCTAGTAGCGAACAATCTCAAATTCATCGTGTCACCTGTTGTTTCTGGCAACCCTTTTGTGTCCAAGCCCCCCCAAAGAAGATACTGTACATAAATAGGCAGGCAAATGCTGTGTTAAATGTATATCAAATCCACATCTCAAGTCATTGGTCAAGCTGGCAAAGCCATTCTTGTTCCCCTGCTTGAGTGCCGCTGAACTTTCAGGTTTGAGAGTCAGCTTATATTGTTTGACGAGACTGGGACGGCCACTGGAAATATCAATAGAAAATATATTTCAAACGGGTGTGTCTTCGGATCCACTTGAGTCGCCAAACGGATTGACTGACGCTCCTATGGACTCCTATCATTTGACTCGGTTTATAGTGGTCCTCAAATAGATAGAAACGGTTTTCAATTATTTTTTGTGGTGATCATGGTCTACTGGAAGAATCATGCTGATTCGGGGTGAGACTGACACGCCTGTGGCGCCATGCTATTGATTAACCAGTGAGACCTTTGATCATTGTCCAGGCGATGAACGCCCGCCTCCCACGGAGGAGGAGACTGGATGTTGCTCAGTTTGTTGGGTTACTATCGTGTTCCTGTGCAGAAAGGCTGATATCTCAAGTGGAAGGTTTCGCGGTGAACTTGGAGAGAGATCATCATAGATCTAACATGATCTAACCATTGTTGTTATTGTAAAAATTGTGTGTTTTGAATGTGAGGCGCTGCTGCCAAATGCATTGGTTGTTTCCCTTGCTTGTGTCCTTGCTTGAGCCTGAAGCAAATGCACAAGATATGCTGACGTCGCGTGGGTGGTTGAGTCGAATAGTTTTGTTTCTTTTAGGACGACAAGAGCTGCGACATTTGCTGGATCGGCGACAAAAACTGTGTTTTGTCCTTTTTTCCATACGTTTACACTGCAACATGACAAAGGAACTACTGTGTTCCATCAGCCCTTCTTTTTGAACGGTTGAGCAACTTGTTTGAGGTGTTTGTGATATGTCATAGTCAAACCAATCCAAAACCTTAGTTGGGACGGTTCGGGGGTTCTTGCAGAAATGGGAGCTAGTGTCTTGATTTCAAGTGGTAGGCTTGGGAATATCACGTTGGTTCGATTTGTTCGAAGGGTGAGTTATTGCGATGTGTTTTTCCGAACTCGAGGCTTGGTCTTCTTTCCAGGCTCTCCACGGAAGCTGGACTTACCTGACATGTATGATCGGCTAAAGGTGTTTGCCTCGAAGCATGGGTTTGAGGTGGCTGCGTTGATTGGAAGCCTGCGCCCAACCGATCTGTCTTGTGCTGAAGGCTTTATCATCAAGATCAAGCAAAGAAGGAGCCACCACCGATTCTGGACGCAACTAACAAGATGCACTCCTGCCAGGAAATACATTCCCATTCCTATAGCAACAAAGAGCAACTGGTAAGAGTATCAACCAAGAACCCACAAGACTAACACAAGACCCCCCGCAACTATGCTTCCCTCTCTCTCCCACCAAGCGTGGTCGCGTTTCAGTCTCAACACGCGGGTCGCAGCCCGAACTCCGCGTGGTCGCGAAAGCACGGAGGATCTCCAGCAGCTGCAGGTGTGGCTGGCGAAATTCCCCCTCGACACCAAGGCGCTCCAGGTGCGGCGCAACAGCAGGGGCTGAAGGAATTGTGGTAGAAAAACAACACAAGACGCAGACAGGTGTTATCCACACGTGTTGTTTGCCAACAATTGAAGGGAAAGTGATGTGATGATGAAGAAGACAGGAAGATCAGATCAGTAGGAGTGGAGTCATTGGGTTTTTATATTGTTTGATGGCTTTTCTTAGGGAGCAATTGAGTTGGACTTGAAGGTCTATGTCCATTATGTGCCATCAAGGTCCATAGACCGGCTAGTTTCTGATGTGGCTAGTAGATCCCATGAAGGAAACAACATCAAAATTAGTGCCCTCATTGATTGATGGGTTCTTTGGCCCACCATTAGTCAATTTGTTCATAGACCCATGCTGTTCTTCCGTGAACTCTTCCCTTCATGTTCTGCATTCAAAGATTTTCACCCCTATGATCCCGACAGTGATCCCGACGTTTTTTGAAACTCGCACTCAGCTGCTGCATGGAGCTGCTGCCTGAGCCACATCCCACCACGTCCCACTGCTTCACTTGCTGGTGTTGCGATCTTCACGCCCTGTGACGCCTGAAGGCCTTGGAAGCCCTGGATCCACGCGACGCGGTCAAAGCGCTGCAGGCGGTCCACGCGACGCGGGCCCCGGGAGTTGCCCATGGGTCGGTGGCGGTTATACCATCTCTTCTTCTGAATGGGTCCAACAGTTGATTGTTGCTGATGCAAAAAGAAAAGAGAACTGTTTTACAGGAACTGGTGAAGGACAGATGAAACGGAGTCGTTTGGTTTTGTCATGTGTTTGAGGTTTCGATCCGACTCTAAGGGGTACACCAAAGGATTCCAGTATGGCTACGCCAAAAATAGTAGGGAGCAGGGCCGAGCTAGGTTTGCACCAAACAGAAAAGCAAGTCTTCACTCATCAATATTCATCCAGTTATTCATCCATCGTGTTTGCGTTGCACCGCCAAGGAGCTGGAGCAAAAGGGCCCCGGGATCCGAAATCCTTCCGCCGGGGCACCCGAGCCCACAAAGCCCGCGGGCTCCCCGCGAGATGGGTATTTCTCCAGAACATCCTTGGCTTTTGTTCCAAGGATGAGCATTTTTGTGATTTGATGTTTGTTTTTTTTTAATTGTCCAGATTGTAGACTGGGATGTTGAGGCAAACCCAGATCAGGAGTACATGTTCGTTCTGACAGTATTGACGAGAGTTGACTGAAGAATGCTTATTTGGTCCGGAAGGCTGTTGGGAAGATTTATATAGAAACACGAAGCTACTAGGGGCTCCTGGCATCGCTACTAGGAGCAAGGACGCTACTAGGGGCTCCTGGCCATACTACTAGTAGCAATGTTTGCTATTAGAAACAAGAATTCAATAGAATTAGAATTAGAACTAACTTAATTTCTAATTAAGCTGACTGACGTGCTGCGGTCTGACTGACTCCTGGGTCCTTTGACCGGCGACCGTGCTTTGCTGCGAGCGGCGCCCCGTTCGGCCGAGGCCTGGATCTGCAAGACCGCGCAGAACCTTCGAGAGAGGCCGGTGGAACCGGAGGTCGGAGGCTGCCGGCTTTCCTTTTGCCCCACTTGACGACCAGGAAAGCCGCCCAGCACACCAGCACCATACTCCATTTGTTGCTTTCCTCATGGCGTTTTTGGGGCCATCAACTCAAGCATGCAAAATGGGGCCTGGTGAATTCCAGGCAAAAGAGCAGCCAGAAACAGAGCTGCAACCGCACATACACCCGGTTCATGCAACCGGAAGAGAACATCTTAAGATGTCAAGCTTCGTAGCGGCGCTTACGCTTCCGGACAACTGGTGTGGAGTATCCCTTTCATATCACAAGAGGCCATTTGCTACCGACAAATACTGTAGCCTTTCATAAGCTTTTTTAGTCACACTTCGGGCAGATATATGGCTGTGTCATGGCACCCAGAGCCCGTTTCACCCCGGTAGGTTGACCTCCCCAAGGTCGTCCACTCTGGCTACCCCCGACCTCCACTTATGCTGGACAGGGGTCTAGCATTTTGCGTGCCCCTCTCATCACATTGTTCAATCCGTTTAATGGCATCCCTTGCCTAATTCGTCTCTCAAAGCTTTTCTTTGCCAGCATTGTTGACATCCAAGCCAGCAATGAAACCCCTAGGCAAAGAATGTTTGCCACAAATTCACTTTAGCCAATCCCAAAAACAATTTGCTGTTCTCGATGGTTTCTCAAAGCTGGCTGGCCATGGAAGTGGTGTAGTTTCTGCATGCAATGCCCCTTCTTTTGTGGTTCAAAGGAGTGTGTCGAGCAGTTCCTTCATAAGTTTTATATAAGTCAAACCAATGTGTTGTTTTTTTAGCTGTATGTATAAGCCACAATTGCGTTGATGTGTTTTTCTATAGAAGTGCACTTCGCCTGTGGCAAATGGGCCGCATCAAGTGAACTGCTGAAAAAAAGATAAACAAACTGAGTCGATTCGGACAAAGCCCTGTACCGAGACATGGAATGGAAGTGCAGGTTTTGTGGACAACGGCGATGTTTTATCCCCCAAAGTATGTATATATATATATGTAACATAATATATATATATATATACACATGGTTGTGTACAAATTTGTCTCAGAACTAGCCCTCGGTACATTTATCGACAGACGAGATGGAAGACAACTAATATACAGACATTTTAGGCAAATCCGGCCACGAACCGCAGCAACGCAGCCCACTAGCAGGTATGGTGGCAAAGCTCCACCAGAGGACGCCGGGCGTAACAACGGAACACTATGTTTTTTGCGCACCTGGTTTGCGCTAGTGACGCTAGTGTTTAGTTGCAATAAAATAGGATATAGAAACATGTGATTACTTTTTGCTTGGTCTTCGGGGCTCAGGATACATCTTGGTCTGAATTGTTGCTTTTCTTTGTTGGCTGAACTGGAATGTTGTTAAACAATGAAAGATCAGTTTGTTAATGCGATAAATTTGTTCTTGGAGGCTTGTTTCTGTTACTTTGCTAGATGCTGCTAGATATTTTGACTCTGTTGCAAATGTATATATGGTCATGAAACCAACAGTGCAGAACTTTGTGGTGAGATGTCCAAGACACTAGGTTTTCGTGGAAAGGCTTGGATCAAGTTGTGTGTTTCCGTAATTTGGACGTTTGACTTACAATGTTCAGGCTGTGACCGTTGCATCCTCACACTGCCACTCTGGTTGGAACATCCTATAGGTGTCACAGGCCCACAGCCTCCTTTAGATCCTCCAAGGGCAAGACTTGCCCAACGGTGTTGTTCTTTGAAAGGCGTTTCCTTGTGAAAGGTGTTTCCTTGGATCCAAGTTTGTTCAGTTTAGAAGACTCTGAAGTTCCATGAACATCCACACCCAGAGTTTTATGTAAAACACATGCAAGTTGTCCACTTACGTTTGTTTGGGTTGCTTGTGGCTGTAAGGCACCTATTGGCAAATAGGTTCTTTGAAAGTCAGCTGTTAAACATGCGCGCCATGTTAGTTTCTTGTATTTTCATGTAGTTTCCATGCTTCATGATGTCACTCACTTCACGCTTCTTTAGCGGAGTAGAGAGTCAGCTTTGTAGGAGAAGCCGAACGAGAAGAAAGAGCTGGACATTGTGGATCACTATGGTGCGCAGCTGGCCGAGAGGAGGATCCAATGATTGCTGTTTGAGGGTAAAGCAAGCAAACACATGCAGATTACCAAGCATACTACATGGTTTCTTTAGGTTTCAGGCTGAGCTTCCCAATCTTCAAGAATGCACGCCTAGCAGCATATGCTTAACTGGTCATGTTTGAAGAAGGCGCAGAGTAAGTGTTCAGTTATCATGTGCCATTTGCATTCTCATGCATTGTCATATATTGTCATGCATTGTCAGCACAAGAACCTGATCATTTCCTCCTCAAAAGTTTATTATCGATAGAGGAGAAGTGTTGTGAACTCACTCCTTGAGCTGGTCAAGATGAAACGAACCGGTAATCGGAAAGGTCGTCGAGCCTTGTGCCACTGAGGTTAGAAGTTGCAGAAGATGCGGATGAGAAAGAAATCAAGAAGGCCTACAGGCGCCTGCTTTGACGTGTGACATAAAGCCGCTTTGGGTGGACATGTGAAACAAAGCCGCTGCCATGAAACCACCTTGAGTTGGGGGTGAAAGGAATCGGAGAACTCAGGCAGTTTGAGCGGAAAAGAAACTCAGGGAGTTTGAGCTTCAACTGAAACTCAGGGAGTATGAGCTGAGATATGCGAAAGATGAGTGTACAAAAACCAACGTGTCCTGCGTTGGGGGCCTGCTGCTACCGAGAGAGAACGGCGCCCATCTTCTCGTGAGAATTCGCAGGTTGATGCCGATTGTAATGAGTCTTGCATACACAGCACATCCATTTGGATATATGTATTTGTATACATGTAGGTATCAGGATACATGACACCAATAATAGGCATTGTACTCCAGTCTTGGAGTTTTTGATCATCCTTGTCATATCAACCCGATTTCCAAAAGAGTGTTCATGCCCACACTGGCTCCTGCCATGTGCAGGAAGTTGGTGCTCAAGTGGCATCCGGATAAGCATCCGGAAGGCAGCCTTTGGGCGCACAACAAGCGATTCTGATGCACTTCAAACCAATTAAACCCGTTTCTGGATGGGACGTCCACCGGCCATTCTAACATGTTCTGGTGCACGTCCTCGGGCACTCGTTTTTGCATCGCCTTTTTTATTATGATGCCTTTCCGAAAGAAGGACTGTGGGTCATGAGGCATGCCATGAGTCATGCCTACTACATATGTGGGTCATAAGCATCATAAGCCACATGTGTCATGTGGATCATGCGTCCATCCTACCATCCTGCCCAAGGTGGACGCCCGCATGGTCCAGCGTCGATCTTTTTCTTGATCCCATTATACTGCCGGACTGAAAGTTAGAATGCCTATCACCGGGTGGGGAGTCTAGGTTTCCGCTACCACTTAGAATGCCTCCCAGCACATTGAGGCGTACCTGAGACGTGTCTAAAAAGTAATATTGAGACGTACCTGGGCTAATTTGTATATAGTATATGTATTGTTGAAGTGTTTTGCCTAGTGCCTTGGCTCAAACAAGGGAAATTCAGGAATTTGAGCTGGCGCCATGCAGCACTTGAAGATCTATATATACTTGAGAAATATATATATATACACATAGTGTCTACATGATTCAATCACTGTATAGAGCTCATTTGATGCGAAACACTGTAGCCGGACTGACAGTTAGAATGCCGCCCTAAATCTGTACTATTTGTGGGGCCGTGCAGGCATTCTAAGTGTAGGAAAATGATTATTGAGGCGTACCTGGGCTAATTTATACATAATATATATATGTATTGTTGAAGTGTTTTGCTTACTGCCTTGGCTCAAAAGAGGGAATGTCAGGAATTTGAGTTGGCGCCATGCAGCAATTGAAGATCTATATATACTT